CGATTTCTGATTTGGCGAATGAGAAAAATTGTTTATTGACTCAATTACTTTTTTTGTTTGTGGATCATTTTTCGTTTTGTTCCCAAAAAATTTTTTTCTTTTGAGGAATTCCATTCATTCATTTTTCGAGTTTTATGGGGCATTATTTTTGGCGGGGATTCAAATTTTTGGCACAAAAAAGAAACGTTTCGGTAAAGTTCTTCTAGAAAATTACCTTGAAAATGGTAACATTTTGGATAGAATTGAAATTTCCGGATTTTCGCGCCAAGCACCCATTTTTTTGCGAAGGAATGACATTCCATTCAGTTTTCCCGGATTTTATGTGACATTTTTCAGGATCATATAGTGGACTAAAATTTATTGACACTTTCCCAGCGATTTATTGCACAATTTTTATTACCGTTATTATTTTTTATGAAACTTTTCCTGGACTTTTTAAATTTCCCATCCGGCTGTCACCACCTCGCTTTGGAAAGGAACGACGGTCTCGAGTCCAATCCTGAGTCCATAGCCAGCCATATGGCGAGCCCTTTGACCGATTGCCGCGTCGTATAGGTCATAAAGTCATATTTACTGTTATATTTCCGTTCCTCATCATTCCCAGTTATCCGGAACAGCCTTGATTTTAGCGTTTTATACTTTTGAAAGATACTTTTCTTCTAGAGAAATCTAGAGATCTTACAATATTTTATGAAAATTTCGACAAATTTTGAGCAAAATATAGTAAATTTTCAAATTTTATGGGTTTTGAATTTATTTTTACTTTTTAGTTCTTGATTTTTTATGTCTTGATTTTTTAGTTCCTCATCCTTCTAGAATATTCTTCACTTTTCTATTATGTTCTAGAATATTCTCCACAAAAATCATGGAACAGTCTAGAATATTCTAGAAAGCACTAGAAGTTTCTCAGTCCTATATTCTAATCAATATATCCTCTATACGGAGCCTTCTAGAACAATAAAAACCTTCTAAAACTCTACCCCAAATATAGTACGTTTTTATTTTATTTGGTTTTCACATTTTTAAATTTTCCTATTTTTAAATTTTTCGCTTTTCGACCAAAAATTACAAAATTTCGGATCAATTCTAACCCTCTCAAGAATACCTTTACCTGCGCACACCTCTCCCACAATTATGTTGTTGATTCCAAGGATGGACGCTCTCAAGCCCTCATCCATCTGGAAAGAATACCAAAGAAAGAAAGAATGAAAGGTATGTCCTTGGTGGTCCCCCGTCGCGCTTGTTTGCCCTTTTACATGACAACCGCAACAACACTCCAACGCATAACGGTTCGCACTGTTTGGATTTGTGTACGGAAATGATTTGCCCATCTTCCGGCGACGCCAACTGGACACTTCCGAACATAATCCCGTAATGAGCACTCCATATAAGGATAGTCTCTCTGCTTCTCTGCATTGGTTAGAGGGGTTATTGAGGGGAGAAGTGTAGTTCACCCCTGCCATATAGCCTCAGGCGATACTTCATCCGGGGAGGTTTTCGCATGTGTGGAAATGTTCCAGGTAATACTAGAAGGTTTGGTGGGGTATTCTAGATGATTCGGTCGGACCTTCTAGAAGATTTGGTGGAACCTTCTAGAAGAATCTGGAGTCTTCTAGAAAATTCGGTCATGTTTTCTACCAAGCCGTTTGGGTCTTCTAGAAGGTTCGCTGAAGTATTCTAGAATGTTTGGTAGGGTTTTCTAGAAAATTCGGTGGAACCTTCTAGAAGAATCTGGAGTCTTCTAGAAAATTCGGTCATGTTTTCTACCAAGCCGTTTGGGTCTTCTAGAAGGTTCTAAGGTCTAACACACTATATAGAAGCTTTTCCAAAAATTATGGATTTTTACCGCTCTAATCCCATAATGGGCATTTCCATATACGGATATTATCTCTCTTTCTCTGTATTAGTTAGAGATTGAGGAATCTATGAGAGAGCAAATCCAGAGGCTTAGTTCCACCCGGTTCTGCCGGAAGGACGCGTTTTCACTTTCTCTGTGGAATTAATGGAACTCTGTAATTACGCGGGATTAACGGTTAAATTAGCGGATCGATATTTGACTTCGTCTCTCGGGAGCAGTTTTGCAACAGTTCACTCCTGCCTATTTCGCCGCAGGGCACGTTTTACCAAGAGACATTTGTCATTGTATGTAAGTGTTCTAGATGATTCTAAAAGGTTATGAAGTTTTTTACAAGAGCGTAGAGTCTTCTAGAAGAGTTTTTAGTCTTCTGGAACGTTCCAGAACAACTTGGACGCAATACAGAAGCATTTTTGTTCAAGTTATGGTCTTAACTCTACTTCTAAAACCTTATAGAGCATTGTAGAAGATTCTAGAACCTTGTAGAACCACTTTATAACATTTGCATGCTGTGGCGAAACGCCCTGGACAAAACATCCCCTGAGGCGAAATTTTTGGTCGGCTGAAATTTTTTGATCTATGAATTTTTCGATTTTTTTGGAATTTTCTGCCTCCAGCTTTTATGTCAAAATTTACATTTTTCTGGCTTTTTGGCGAATTTTTTCAACATATCGAAGAAATATTTTCACTTTCTCATCAAATAACTGAAAAATTTGACCTTGCACTAAAGCGGTGTCGGAGAAATTTGCAGAGGATTTTCTCAAGGGTAATTATCTGTAATGCCCTCAAGCTGTCAATAATAATTGGTCTTAGGCGAAACGGGATTATTAATCACCTGTCTTTTTGTTGTTTCGTACTTTTATCTTGAATTGGATTTGTCTTGGACAGAAACTTTGAAAGCTTCTAGGCATTTTTAGGCCTTTTTGCATATTCTAGAAAATTCTGATCTGAAATTTTTTCAAATTTTCGCAAAAATTTAAATAAATTGGAACAGAAAAAGTAAAAAATATCCATTTTTCAAAAAAAATTTCATAATTTTCTGGAAATTTTCAAAACTTTTTTGAAAAGTTTACTTGTTCCAGATTTTTAGATGGAATAGTCAAAACTTTCATTTTTTCAAAAAATTTCAGGCATTTTTATAAAAGTTCACATTTTTCTGGAACTGTAGCAAAAAATTAAAAATATCAGTTTTTCAAAAAATTTGCTTTTTTGTTACAATATTTTCACCAATTTCCCAAAAATTTCCCCCAAAGCCCCAAAAGTTTCTTTCATCTCCCCCAATCCATGTGTGTGGTCCCCCGAACCCGGTGTGTGGTCCCCCGAACCACGTGTGTGGTCCCACTCCCCGCGCATCCTTATTTTCCGTTATAACGCCTGTACTAATTTCGCAGTCACCCTAAAAATGGCTGCTTTACTCCAATTAAACGAATCCATTTTCCTTCGCGAATAAAATCGCAAGCCGTTATAAAAAAAAGAAAGAATGGGGAGCCCATCCCGCAGCTCCTGGGGCTGGGAAAATAATTGAATTGAGGACGAGCAATCGCTAAATTGGCTCACTTCCACGCTCTGCCCATTTTGGGCGTTGCGCCATCGCTCTTTCCGACAGCGAAATGAGTGACCGTTACTCCAATTTTCCTCACCGTTACTCCACTTTTTTGACTCAAAGTGCTTGAGTCGAGGAGAAAATTCTGGAATTTGGGTCTCCAAACTCAACTTCTAAAGCGTTTTGACCTTTGATTGAGGGTTTTCGGCCTTTTTCAAGATTACCTTTACCGTTACCTCAATCAAGGTGCGGTTTGAAAATGATTTGAATCCCTTTCTTGAGTAGTATGGAAGTGGCCCTGACCTGAATAACGGTCAGTCTGAAGAGCCTTGTATAGGACCCTAGAGGGAATGTTGCATTTTTAAAGGGAAATGTTGCAATTTCGAGAATTTTTCTACCTGAGTGACCGTTATTTCAACATTCCTCACCCTCACTCCTCTTTTTTTCTCACTTTAGCTCAAAGTGTTCGAGAAACACTCTGGAATTTGGATCTTCCAAACTCAAATTCTTTGAAGGTTTCATTGGAGATTTTTTACCTTCCTTCGAGATTTACCGTTGGAATTACCTCAATCAAAGTGGAGGTTGAAATTCGAATAGCGGTCTGCGCGAGTGCCTTTTCTTGAGTAATATGGAAGTGGCCTTGACCTGAATAGCTGTCATCAGTCTAAATGGCCTTGTATAGGACCCTAGTGGAAATGTTGCATTTTTGAAGGGAAATGTTGCATTTTTGAAGGGAAATGTTGCAATTTTCAAGGGAAATGTTGCAATTTTGCGACATTTTTCTTTTTTGGCAATAACGCGAGACAAAAACGCGCCAATTCAAATTGTTCAAATTTCAACCACACTCAATCGCCGCTAGTCCTCAAATGCCATGCAAATTCCTAACATTCCTGAAATTCCTTTCACAAAGTAACCGTTAACCAAACCAAACTTTTTAACAAAATAATTGCACTTTAATCCTTGAGAGTAAATAACGGAAGTAACTATCAAAATTTCAGGCGCAACTCCACCAACTGTGACCTGTACTCTGTGGACGCAGCGTTGGCACTCGGGAACGGTGATGAGCCAAAGTGCGCGACAAATCGCCACTCCTCCAACTCAAGTCTCTTCACACTAAACTCACCTGTGATGCCGTTGGTTCAAAAGAATGGCGCCGTGGATCAAAAGGTGAGGGAGTTATGAAGTTATTAATAATTCTTGATAAGGTGTTTTAAACCGGAAGTGAAGAGAAAAATTCGAGAAAAACCTAAAAGTACAAAGTTTGCAACACAGAATGTTGCAACCTGTACTTTTAGGTACAATTTGACATGTTTTGCATACACTTCTAAATTTTGGTGCCTTGATAGTGGTATGTCTATTATCCTTGGACCACACACGTGGGGATTTTCATACTATGGCTAGTAGATCAGTAGTAGCAATCATATTTTTTCCGTTTAAGATATTCTCTAACAATTTTCGGCCGCAAAACTTTTAGTGTTTTCAACTTTGATTTGCAAAAAATTATAAAAAACTGTTTGCAAAATTTATTTAAAAAAATTTCGCAATTTTTTCCGAAACAAAAATAAAAATAAAATCCGTTAAATTGGAGAGCGAAAAAATATTTGTTCCATACTGGGGTCGAACCAGTGACATCCAGCTGGCTAACCATGTTATTAGACTGGCGCTCTAACCAACTGAGCTAATGGAACACATGTTATCATTGCTCGTTAAGTGAACTGTTAGGTTGGGATGTGAATTTTTTGATTGTTTTTAGAGCCAATTTTCAACTTTTTTTCGTTTGTTTTTTCATTTTTTACGGTTTTCCGTTTGTTTTCTGTTTTTCCGGATGTTATTTGGAAACAACGTTGCTATCTAAACTTTTTTTCGTCTCTCATGGGAACTAGGACTACGCCATTCACTTCCTAATCGAGTCGATAACGTTGTAGCCTCGGGACTGATACTCTCGGGTGACTCAGTATCAAGAGTGCACAATAACAAACCCTGTGCCTTTACTAAAAGCCTGGTCGGTACCTAGTTGGTTATCGTATAATATTACTCACCCCTCTAGAACATTCCAGAAGCAATGATCAGAAGCAGTCAATATCTATGAAAAACTATACTATAGTTTTGTGATAGATACTGACATCAATGATCAAAGATCAGAGCAATGTACTATTAGCGAAAATAGGTTATTAGGCTATTCCTTGGGCGACCATTCTGTCGCGCGACGGCCTTAGGCTTAGGCTTAGCTTCTCTGGATTGATGCCCTTAGGCCATCAATCCAGAGAAAAAGAGAGATCCCGAACTCAATTAGCGTTCTCCTTTTCAGGCCAACGACTTTCTCACTCTTCTCGAGCGAATGCAAAGTCAACGTCTGGACGATCAGCGCTGCGAAATGCCGGAACTGGTGGGGAATTTTACCATTCTCGCTTACTTTTCAGCTAGGAACTTGGCTTGAATTCCATACAATAAACTTGACAATGAACTTTAAAGATCAAAGTTCAAACTTTGCAACATTTTTGCAACATGATTCACTCATAATTTATATGAATTTGGCTTTGGTATAAACTTGAAACATCGAGACCGTTATGAGTCACGGAATGGCGGTCGCCCAATGTTGCGAAAATGAGAATGTCGGTTTTCGAGCCGCCGTTTTCAATAACAATCTTGAGCGTAAAATAACGGTCGGCCGAAATGTCAAATTTGTTTCGGCGCATTCCAATTCGATGGTTAATTGTACATTTTTGGGTCGTTATTCGGCCGATTTGCTTCGTAATTTGCATTCCAATGTAATTGACCGTTATTCTTTTAGACCAAATCCTTATTATATGACCTAAAGTGATTATTCAGTTTGCTTTGAAAGCTATTGGAAGACCGTTCGAATTAGATTCTGCATAATTTTAAGTATAACCGACATATTCTCGATTGTTTTACCTGATTCTCGACCAGTTTAGCCCCGCTCTTGATCATTTTCACCCCATTCTCGACCCTTTTAACAATGCTCTCGACCGTTTTTGCCGAGTGTAGGTAAAAATCCCCCCCGGTAAAAATCTTTTTTGGTAAAAGCCGATTCAAGATTCTTGAGATTTAATTATTTTTGTCTCAAATTCTCGAATTTGCAAAAAAAGTTGAAATTTTGAGACAAAAATAATTAAATTTCGAGAATCATGAATTGAGATGCGGCGAGTAATATACCGATTTGTAGCCCAGAGTCTTAGCTTTGATTTAAGCTATTACTCATCCTTCTAGAATGTTCCAGTAAAAAGTTATGCCAAAAATGGCGAGCGGGGGATTTTTACCGGGGGGGATTTTTACCGGTTCCCCGTTTTTGCCTGATTTTTGATAATTTTCGTTGGATTCTCGACCATTTTTGACCCATTTTCGGCCTTTTCCTGAATTTTTTCGTATTTTCTGAGATCAAAGTTCAATTATAACGGACTCATAATTGGGATTGATTTGAATTGGTTAGAACTTGGTCTTCTAGAATTTATGTCTTTGTATTGGACTGGCCTGGATTTCCGGTTGAAATCTATTGTACTTCTTCGTATACTTTTTATACCTGAGCCTTAAAGGAGCTCAGGCCCTTGAAAGGTAATCCGATTTTTGGTGACTGCATCAAAAATAAGTTCCGTTATGAAAAGAAACGTTTCTTTGAGTAGAATTCCGTTAGATTTCCGTTAGATGACCCGAAATATTTGATTTCCGTTATTCGATGACCTCAAATATCCTTAAAGGATAAACAAATTGTCTCAGAAATTTGGAAGATACGTCTGTAACATTTTGTGGCATAGAACTTTCTAGAAAATTTATATGCCAATTCGAGATTCAATCTTTTCCATAACATTTTAACATCTCTCTCAAAATCTGTTTTCTTTAAGCTTTCAATTCACTTCCGGTCGCATTTCCGCTATCTCGCCGTTTGGTGTAAAACTTTGGTCCCTCCGATACATCTCAATACAAGCCACGTTCTTTATAAATATTCGACGATCTTTACCTGAAGGTTTCTTGATTTTTCTCGAGTTGAATGTCCTAGTCCTGACTTTTTATTGATCATCTTTTTGCTTTTGTCACCTCTTCAATTTAGATAGCTCCAGGAAAAGTTCGTTACCTTTGAGCTTACCTACGAAAAAAATTTGAATCCTGAAATATTTGGATTTTCCAGCATTTCCGAATCCAGGGAATCCGAGACTGCTTTCGAATCGATTTGTCTTTCCTTATCAATTTTTGATGAGGTATCAAAAAATCAATACACCTGTGACGAAAAACGGGCTCTGACTCATCAGATTTGAGTTGGGCTTCATTTCTTTTTCTGATCTGTTCCACAAAGCAATTGAATTGGGCCGTGGGTCGAATGAGTGAGTCATCGCTCACTTCGATTGGGCCCAAAACAGAGTGTAGCATTCCCACGTCTTTTGAAGACAGTCACTTTGAATCGGAGAATCGATCGAAGCGAAAGAAAAACGAACAATGATTTGAGTTTGGCTTTGGAAAATTTTCTGTGTTTGTCTCAACTTTTTTTTCTGTCTGCGAATTGTCTCATCAAGATTTGAAGAGCTTTGGAGGAATTTTGTTGTTGGAAGAAAAAATTGTCTGTGCTTTAATGGAAATGAAAAATTTTTACGCTTGGAAAAATTTTGGGTCGGACGAATTTTTTTAAATGCCCTTTTTTTGAAAAATTTTCGAAAAATGCTCTTTTTTCTTCCTGAAAAATGCCAACTTTTGGGTCATTATCCTCATTTTTCCATAAAAATGGCCATTTCCTAAAAAATGACCTCTATAAAAATTTTTCAAACATATAAAACCATTGTACTTTTACATGCCAAATCTCGAATAGTGCTCGGGAATAGGAAATTTTTGACGCTTCCAAATTTCAGATGAAACAAAATTTGTACTATTACCTGCGAAATTGCCCCGGCTCAGACCACCCACAATATCCACCTGACTCCTTATCCTTCTTACTCATAATAATATACACATAGGCGTAAATAAACTATCATCGCCGCAACTTCTCCCATTACACTAATTGCTGTGAACACAGCAGGCCCTACCTGTCTTGATCTACCTGCCACTCTTACCTGCTCCTTTGACCTTTCAGGTTGTTGACTTTGCCGGTCGCTATTGTTGTTGACTTATTATTATTCATATTAGAATTCCAAGAAAGACGATGAGCTGGCTTGAAATGGCGATAAGGGCAGAGTTCACCTGGTGAACAGGCGCTGTGTGTGGTAATAATAGTGCACTTTAGGCCTTTTATTGCAAAGCCGGAAATCTGCTTTTAGGCTTAAGTTTGGCATACCTGGTGGGAAATTTACCTTTACCTGGTAGAAAAGCATTCTAGCCAGGGTTTTTGAATGGGCGGGGATAGACTGACCAAAAACTGAAAAGAACTTCTAAAATTTCGCTTTTTTGTATTTTTAAACTTTTTCCAACAGTTTTATGTATTTCTACGTTCATTGTACTAAATTTAATAATTTTTGAACAAAGTTGTCAGAAAACGGAAAAAATTGTGAGTACTTGAAAAAAGTGTGAAATTTTTCCATTTTTTGACAATTTTTAATTTTTTGACAATTTTGACCAAAAATTTGCGGAAACTGCCAAAATATCTGTCTTTTTCTTATAAATTCGAGAACACCCAGATATGAACAGGTATGCACTCTCTTTCTCTGTCTGTCTCTCCTGTCTATCCCAAATTTCTTTTCCATATCCGTTCTAATAACAAAAATATAGTCAATACCCACGAAATTCCAGGATTTATCCTTGGCTGAGCCCTTACAATAGGAAGGATAATTGCACTTCTCTGTTGTTTGTCTTCAAGACTGCGCGAAGGAGAACCCCGCAGAGAGCTCTAATTGCGGTAATGGGATAGGAGCGTTGTTATGAACTCGGCTCATTCCTGCCCTCCTGACTTGCTGTTTGGGATCGCAAGACTCTTGAAGAGGTTATGTATGTGTATATTCGAAGCGATTGGGTCGTTGCTTCGAACGCCGTTCACTTTTCTGTACTGTTCAAAAATAGCGGAAACTTGAGTGAACCGGTATTTGGAAAGCATTTTCTGGAAAATTTTCCCGAAATTCTGTATGATTCTAGCATTTTTGGTCGATTCTCGACCATTTTTACCTGATTCTCGACCATTTTTACCTGATTCTCTACCATTTTTACATGATTCTCGACCATTTTTACCTGATTCTCGACCATTTTTACCTGATTCTCGACCATTTTTACCTGATTCTCGACCATTTTTACCTGATTCTCGACCATTTTTACCTGATTCTCGACCATTTTTACCTGATTCTCGACCATTTTTGTTTGATTCTCGACCATTTTTACCTGGTTCTCGACCTTTTTGTTTGATTCTCGAGCATTTTTGTTTGATTCTCGACCATTTTCACCCCCGCTCTCGACCTCTTTTCCAAATCCCGCCTATTTTTCCTCCATAAAACGGGACAGGTGCCAAAAGCATCGACACAACTCACCTTATCTCCTAGCTCACCTTATCTCTCCAACCTCATTAGAGTCTCCCCAATGTTCACACGTCCCAATAAAAACGCCATAAAAGGGCAAAAAAACTCGAAGACGCGTCATTTTTATGAGTCATCGTTTGTCGCAGTCATTTTATGATCCAATGTCCACCCTTCGGTCCACTCACTTTCTTATCTCTTCGCAAGATCTCGAGCATTTTCGGCCATCTGTCTGGCTCATCATAACAGTT